TCTATTTAATGTTTCTTTATCTTGTTGTCTTGTGTTCCCGGCCCATGCTGTTATACAAAAATTGATCATACTTTCTATGGTTGAATGGTAGAACATGGACATCAATGTTTTATCAACTTTAAAATACTTTAGCTTTCTAAGAAAAAATAGTCTTTTGCCCCCCCCCCCTCCACAGCTGTGATGTTGTTTTTGATCGAACTGTGTGTGGTGTCTACATAAGAGCACGACGTGCATGAACCTGGTCCGTCTAAAGGTCCGCTTTAATACATTAGCGTGATTTTTTGGGGGGTCTATAATCTGCATACCTAAGAACCTGTTCTATAATGGAAAAGCGCCATAGAACTTTGTTTGGTCTCCGGTAATACAATTTTCTGAGCTACAGCTACTTATCCATACTTTGCGAGAGTTTTTAGTTTTTAAAAAAGCGGGGGGTTGGGGGTGGGGAGATATTTAACCCATTGAATTGTGCGACAGTGATATCGCCGTATATTATTGGAAATCTTGTGAATGGTTTTTACAAACAGACAACGAAATCTACATAGGTCATGCACACATAACGTCGTTTCACAAAATTAACCATCGCCAGTCACAACTCTAAATGAGTGAAGGGGAAAAATGGTGGTAAACGGGCCAGCTGTTGTTGAGCAATTGGATGCTTAGAACACGCAAGCAGAGCAAGTGATTGCACTAGTTGGAAATCACTCATACCGATTGGCCCGATCGACAGGGCCCCACGTGCGTGCCTTAATGAATTCGTAGCCGTCGCACACGGAAAACCTGAGTTCGATTCTCGTGTGGGAAGAATTTTTATCGAGAATCTCCGTCTTTCCGTTGGGAAGTTGTATCCCTGTCAGCCAAGGCTGGCCCCGAAAAGCAAGGTCGAAGCCTGGCTCCTAAATGATCTAAATTGAATCTATGTGGGCCAGCAATAGCTAAATCTACATTAACCCCCCCCCTCCACCCTTCAAAAGATAAATAAAAGACACATCTCACAACAACGACAACAACAACAACAACAACAACAACAACAACAACAACAACAACAACAACAACAACAACAACAACAGCAAA